ATTGTAGGACGGGGATGTATGATAGGCATAAGCGTGACAGGAAGGGGATGAGCTAGGGGTGTGCCCATAGGAATGGGAAGGTCTAGGGGTATACATGTGACAAGATGGGTGGACCCTAGATTCATGATGGCGGCCTAACCTTGGTCACCCTTGGGCGGGTTTGACCTCTCTGGTGTCTCCGACAAGGAAACAGACAACTACTATCCTTATAAGGGGTAGGCCCTACTTGTGGGATCAACAGTGGTGTCTGCTTGGTCCAGTTGGCTGATAGGTCTTAGGGAGAATGACCCCCGATCTACTCCTGATGACCTCCAAGTGTATAGTCATTCGCAAGCAGCTAAGTTTAGCTGGGGAAGGTGCAACTGGGTTGAGGCAACGGCCTGTCATTACCCCATCTGAAGCCCACCTTTAGCTTTCTGGCAGTGGGCGTCTGGAGAGAGGCGGTATGGACAGCCCACCTCTTCATGCTTCCAGGGGTGGCTGGTGGCCGCCAGCATCAGCCTCCCCCCGTCTCGCCCATGTGGTGCCATCTGCTTGAAGATGCTGGCTCCCACTCAGACCCCTAGACCTCTTCCAGTGTTCACTGCCACTTGGCTGCGGGAGGGAAGGAGACCAGTGATGGCAGTGTCCAGAGTCCTGTGGGCCAGACCAGAGACCTTGGATGGCTGCTGTCAGATGACACCACTGGTCCCTGAGCCTGGGGAGGGGCCCCTGGGCTGCCCCCGAGCCTACCTCCAGCAGCCAAGTGGCCCTGGGGCGTCATTCTCAGACAAAACTGCCCTGTGCACAAGTGTCCACATCCCGCTTGAACAGGCACGTGCATTGTAGGGTGCTGGCGCAGCACTGCAAACCCCCACCCACTCGATGCCTCTAGGAGCCTGAGCCTACCAGAGAGGCCCCAGCTGCGACACACAACAATGGCCTCCGGGGAGGACCAGGCAGGAGGCCTGCTGGGGCAGCATTTGAGGCGCTGAGCCAAAGGCACGCTCTCAGAGCCCACACCGTGCGCTCTGTAGGAGGCAGAGGAGGCAGCTCAACTCTGTCCTGGGGGGTCACTGGAGTCTGAGTCACAGCTGGAGGACAGCGGAGTAGCAGGGGAATACCACTTGCAAGGAGGCCTGGGGGTACAATGGCTGCCAACCCCAAAGTCGGTTAGGATCCCCCCTGGCTTGAAAGGAGTCAGATCCATGCCACACACAGGGAGGGAGGGTGGAGTGCATGGGCAAGGACCCCCGGGCAGAGGCCGAGAACCGTAGTCCCCCATCTCATGTCTGTTTCCTTAAATGGGGCAGTATCTGTACCCACCCTCTGCGTTCTGGGCAGGAGGCTGTGCGGTGGCCTCTCAGGACTGGGGAAAAGGGGAGGCACCGGGAGGGGAGCAGGCTGTGGCCCTGGTCTGTGCTCTCCCTGCCCCACCCCTTCCCCACTGCTCACTGGGACACAAAGTGTTTCTCAAGCTGCTGAGCTCACAGCAAGTGTTTTATTTCCCATCACTGTTTCTGAGACCTGGAAGGGGGGATGGATGGATGGATGGATGGATGGATGGATGGATGGATGGATGGATGGATGGATGGATGAGACCTGGAAGGGGGGGGGGGATGGATGGAGGGAGACCGCCTGGAGGGAAAGCCCACCAGGATATAGGAGAGGATGAGGATGAGAGGATGTCAGGGTGCTGAGCGGACCCCTGTGGATCACCATAGTGGAAGGGGCCCCTCTGCAGGTGGGAGATGGGACCCTGAGACAGCAGCTGGGGCGAGGAGCTGCCCCTGGAGCTTGGCCCCTACAGGGAGTTGGAGTGTGGTGGCTGAGGCCCAGGTCTGAGCCACCTGTGGCTGTGGTCTGCAGTGCAGCTGTCAACGGAGGCCAGG